CGAACCGCTGAAGCGTCAGCCATTTCTGGCCAGCAACTTTCAGCGTCATTAAGCCGCTGTGCCACCGCGTCCCCCTCTATCTAAACTAGGAACATGGAAACATCCTTTTCAGCCATCTGTTCAAATTTGGTATTTGAAGTGGTATGAGATTACCTGATGCTGTCAGAGAAAGACTCTACTCCATACTTTGAGGGACAGTAGCCACCTCCAAAGGTACTCAGTCGACCCATGATGCTGGACATGTTGACCACTCTTCCCCTGGCCTTCTTCACCAAGGGCAACATATGGAGTGTCACATCAATCAGCCCAATTAGATTGACATTCAGCACGTTCACATAGTCCTCTTTGGTCAGCCATTCACTGGGGGATACAGGGTGCACAATTCCAGCATTATTTACCAAGCCCCAGAGTCCTGCAGAGAAAGGACAGCAAGCATGCAAAACTTTACATAAGAAAGAGGGGGACTGAAAACCTGGCCCAGATTGAGCAGAGCTTGGAAGGAATCAGTTAATATAAAAGCAGATTTATTTCCTCTCTTCATATCAATATCTTTAGTTAACTGGGAGTTCTCAAAAGTCATGTACACATGTTCTATAGGCTAAGGGGAAATTTCCTTGAATACAAATTCAATGAAGGACCAAAATACACCTGGGAAAGCAGCCACATTACTCTGCTTTTAATCTGGAGGAACATTGTTTTAATAAGCACTAGCTACATAAATCCATGATCTAGGGTTAAATATCTCATGCACAAATAAGGAGAACTTCCTAGCCACCTTATAATCTGTCCCAGTTAACTGAGAAGTCTGGTTACAACTGAGCCACTGTACCTTTGTTCCCCACGCATGTTTTCACCCACTCAGTTGCTGCCGCAACACTCTCAGTGCTGGTGACATCCAGCAGGGTGGTTTTTAACCGGTCCGATGTGAGTTTCTCCAGTTGCTCTGCTCCCTTCTGGGTGAGACACGCGGCCAACACCCGCAGACCCCGGGCATCCAGCTGCTTGGCCAGCTGGTTCCCAAAGCCAGAGTCACAGCCAGTGATGAAGACATATTTCTCCGTCAGGTTCTCCACCTCCTGTCTTTCCCGATAGTATCGTATCACAAAGTACAGCAAAATCGCCAATGCCAGATAGAACCACATGGTCACTGTGTATTAAAATGAAAGACAAAATTTAGGGTGCTTAAGTTTCCTTTTTAAAACAAAAAAAATTTTTTTCCTGGTTTTATTTCTTCTATCTATCGCCCTTCAGATGTCGATGGGCAGCAGTGCATTCCCAGGAGAATCATCTGGAACATCCATCAGGTTAAGAAGCAATCCATGGATTAATGGTTAATGAAGTCATGTTTACTATAGCTGCTCTGAAGTTCATTGTACCTTTCCTTTAGCAAATGATCTCCTCAGCAATTTGGCCAATTCTGTCTCTGTAACTTTGGCTGGAATAAACCAGCACAGTTAAGGCTGAAAAATTACCAAAGGTGAATTTTCACTGCTTTCCTGCTACTTATGAACGACCATCCCACATCAGTACCAAAAATTTGGTACTTTTGTAGGTGTGTAGAAAGTTATTCTACTCACTATTATCCTTCTGCATAGTGCGCAGGCCATAGCTGAACAGAAAGACACCACTACATGCTCTGCCTTGAAAAGGTGCAGTTCGTGCAAAATGAAGCAACCAGGCTTCTAGCCGCTGAACCTGTGCCGGTTGCTTAGGGGGCACAGCTGAAGATGTTGGTATTCACTTTTAAAGCCTTAAATGGTCTAGGGCCTGAATACCGATAGGATTGTGTCTCCTGATACCAATCTAACTGTTTAGCTCAGCAGAAATGGCCCTCTTGAAGATGGCTGCATTGTCAGAGACTTCTCACTCTGGCACGTGGGAGAGAGCTCCTCTAGCGCTGCTCCCAAGCCATGGAGCGCATTTCCTCAAGAACAGTTTTTGGCCAGACTTTCTCAACATTT